TGCATTCTACGTTATGTATTCTTATCTGAAATCTAGAAGGATACTGTAGATAGGATACTGTAGATAGATTGAAACAATTATGGACACATATTCTTAGTAATTTGACACTTGATTATAAATAAGAGATGAGAGAGTCTTATTCTTATTGCTCCTTTCCGTTCTTTGTGATAATTGTACATTCTGAAAGAGAGAGATTGGGGAGTTAAGTTTTGGAGTTATAGAATTTAGAGTACGGTTTCCCCATTTTGCTAATAATGAGTCTCCTTGTACCAATTGATAGATAAGAGATGCACATTACGAAGTTAATGATTTCATTAACAGCAGTGAATTACAAGTATTTCCTATAGTTATATTCGTTCAACTATGCGTTCCCCTTTTGAGACTTCCAATTTGTATACTATCAAGTTCTCACTTGGATGCATAGGAGATTTAAGCCGCAGGCTACAGAATCAGCCTTTTTTGTTTGTTTTTTTGTTTTTGTTTTAACACCGTAGATTGTAGAGACCAACGAACAGCTGAGTCCAGGTTAGTGAAGATAACAAACATTAACAATTTTTTTTCCTTTTAACTTGAAACATTAACAACGTTAAGACAATGAATAGGGGGGATTTTATTAATGTCCTAAAAATCTTTACATTGGACCCTCGAGCTCACTCGCAATAACCATACTATATATATTAGAAAAAAAAATGGATATGAAATGACAGCTCATTTTGCTATGAGCTATCAATAGATATCCACGTTGTGAAACTCATTCTACTTGTCACATCAAAAGGTGTATCTTAACTTCTCTATCTCTTGGTAGTTTATTTTTCTAAATGAGTTGCCCCCTCATAACCATCAAACCATATATATTAAGAGAATTTTCCTTTTCGATCTTTGTGAGCTACAGTTTTAGAACTCCAAAAATGCTCATAACCATAAAAAGATCAATTGTAAAAGCTCTCACACTTGGGGAAAAAAATCACCAAAAACACTCACACTTTAAAAAACGAAAATGATGTTCTCATGTTTGGACAAAAATGTTGAGTCTTTTATGTTATTTTGTTAAGAATAAGTCATCCTATTAATATGGGATTAGTTAGAGTCTTTTTGGGTTGTTTTGTCAGTCAAAGTTTGTTAGAGTCTTCTTAGCCATTTGTTGTGATGGTAGAAGATCGTGTCCTTGTTTTTAGCAGTGTTCAGTTGTTCAGTTTGTAAGCCTTACAAAAGGCACTCAAATCTCATGAGTAAAGGGTAGTTATTCTGGTGCAATTGTGATTTTCAGAAGCTAAACTTCACATTTGGTATCAGAGCCAGAGTAACTCAAGAGAGAAATCATGAGCGACGAGAAATCCCTCACAAAAATTCCGCACTTTGATGGTCACTACGATCATTGGAGTGAATTGATGGAGAATCTTTTGCGAGCGAAGGGCTTATGGAATCTGGTAGCCGACGGCTACAATGAACCAGCAGAAGGAGTCGAGCAAACTGCTGCACAAAGGAGAGTTCTAGAGGATCTCAAGATGAAAGATCATCAGGTAAAGCATTACCTGTTCCAGGCGATTGATCGGACAATGTTCGAACAAATCTTGGATCGAAAAACATCCAAGATTGTTTGGGATTCAATGAAAAGGAAGTTCGGAGGAAATGAGAGAGTGAAGAGATCTCTACTCAACACTCTCAGGAGGGAATTTGAGGTTCTGGCCATGAAGACAGATGAGAAGATTGTGGATTACTTTGCGCGAGTAATGACAGTCTCAAACAAAATGAGGAGCAATGGGGAAGCTATGCCAGACTCAAAGATTGTCGAGAAGATCCTCCAAACACTGACAGACAAATTCACATATGTTGTGATTTCTATTGAGGAATCCAAAGATACTGAGAAAATGTCTATTGATGAGTTGCAAAGTTCTTTGGCTGTTCATGAGCAGAAGTTCAGAAAGATCAACACTGAAGAGGATGAACAAGCACTCAATGTCAGAAGCAGAGGTCGAGGGGGTTACAGAGGCGGCCGAGGCAGGGGCAGAGGACGCGCTGTCAACAAAGCACTGATCGAGTGCTATAAATGTCACAATCTAGGACATTATCAGTTTGAATGTCCTAGTTGGAAAGAAGCAAACTACACAGAGGAGGAAGAGGATGCTGTCCTTCTAATGGCAGAAGTAGAGCTTCAAGGAACTAAGAAAGATGGTACCTGGTTTGTTGATTCTGGATGCTCGAACCACATGTGTGGTGATCGAGGTATGTTCTTGAGTTTAGACACATCTTTTACTCATGCTGTCAAACTTGGAGATAATCACAAGCCGATTATCAATGGGAAAGGTGTGGTAAATATCACGCTCAGTGGAGTTAGCTATATGATGAGGGATGTTTGTTACGTTCCTAAATTGAGGAACAATCTGCTGAGTGTCGGGCAACTTCAGGAAAGGGGATTGGATGTGTTGTTCAAAGGAGGAGTCCACAAGACTTGCAGCATCTTTCATCCCACCAAAGGAAAAATTGCTGAGTCTGTAATGAGTGGAAACCGAATGTATGTCTTACTCACAGAGACTTGCAGCAAGACAGAGGAAGAAAAATGTCTTCAGGCTGGGAATTCTGACAAAGCTGATCTGTGGCACCAAAGATACGGGCATCTGAGTTACAAGGGCCTGGCTATTTTATACAACAAAGGAATGGTTACCGGTCTGCCAGAGATAGGACAAGGGAGAATTACATGCGAAGTTTGTATGAAAAGCAAGCAACATCGGATGCCCTTTCCAAAGCAAAGTTCATGGAGAGCAACAGAAAAATTGCAACTCATCCACTCTGACTTGTGTGGCCCAATCACTCCTCCATCAAACAGCCAGAAGAGGTACTTGATAAGCTTTATTGATGATTTTTCTAGGAAGTGTTGGATTTTCTTTGCTCCAGAAAAATCAGAGACATTCTATCATTTCAAATTGTTCAAAGGTTTTGTGGAAAAGGAAACTGGAATGTGTATAAAATGCTTGAGAACAGATAGAGGTGGAGAGTATAACTCTGGAGAGTTCAAGGAATTCTGCAATGCGCATGGAATTAAGAGGCAATTGACTACCTCATATACTCCACAGCAAAATGGAGTGGCTGAACGGAAAAATAGAACCATGATGAACATGGTAAGGGCTGTTCTTACAGAGAAAGGGATTCCAAAAGTGTTCTGGCCAGAAGCTGTACAGTGGGCAAATTATGTGCTCAATAGATCTCCTACTTTGGTTGTGAAAGATATGACGCCTGAAGAAGCTTGGAGTGGTGCAAAACCATCAGTGGAACACTTCCGGATTTTTGGGAGCATAGGGCATGTCCACATTCTTGATGTAAAAAGAACCAAGCTTGATGACAAGAGTGTAAAGTGCATTCTATTAGGCTACAGCAGTGAATCGAAAGCATTTAGGATGTATGATCCAGTTGAGAAAAAGATTCACATTAGCCGAGATGTGCTATTTGAAGAAGACAAGGCGTGGGTTTGGGATGCTAGCCATACTGCTGAACAAGTTACTGAGCTTGAATGGAAAGAAAATACTGATAGTGCTGCTCTTGAGGGAGGAGATACAGAAAGTTCAGATGAACCACACACTCCGGCTGAAGCTGCTGCTGCTTCCCAACATGAAGAAGGCACATCAAGGATGAATAGAATCACACACACTCCGGCTGAAGCTGCTGCTGCTTCCCAACATGAAGAAGGCACATCAAGGATGAATAGAATCAGACAACCACCACGATGGGTTGTAGATTATGATACAGGAGAAGGTCTATCCGATGCAGAGAATGATGAGGTGAATCTGAGTGGAGTTGACAGTACTGATGTTGATGATCTTGCTTTCATGGTTATCTCTGATCCGACGAGTTTTGAAGAGGCAGTCAAAGACGAGAAGTGGAGGCAGGCCATGGATGCAGAGATCAAGTCAATTGAGAAGAATCAGACATGGGTGTTGATGGAGCCATCTATTGGTACCAAAACTATTGGTGTGAAATGGATTTATAAAACCAAACTCAATGAATTGGGGGAGGTAGATAAATTCAAAGCTAGACTTGTTGTGAAAGGTTATTCACAACAATATGGAGTAGACTATACTGAAGTGTTTGCTCCGGTGGCACGGATGGACACTGTGAGAATGATTATTGCTTTGGCTGCGCAAAGAGGATGGAGACTCTATCAGCTGGATGTTAAATCAGCATTCTTACATGGAGAATTAGAGGAAGATGTCTTTGTTGAACAACCCCAAGGTTATGAAATAGCTGGGAAAGAGCATATGGTGTATAAGCTACGCAAGGCTCTATATGGACTGAAACAAGCACCGAGAGCCTGGTTCAGTCGCATAGAATCCTACTTCATCAAGCAAGGGTTCAAGAGCAGCTCCAGTGAACAAACTCTGTTTGTTAAGCAAAAGGAAGGCAAGATTCTAATAGTCAGTATTTATGTGGATGATCTCCTGTTTACTAGCAATGATGAAGATCTGCTTAAAGAGTTCAAGTGTGCTATGAAAAGTGAGTTTGATATGAATGACTTGGGAAGAATGAGATATTTTCTTGGTATAGAAGTGTTGCAAAAGGCTGGTGGAATCTTCATTTGTCAAAGAAAGTATGCAGCTATGGTAATTGATAGATTTGGAATAGGGTCCTACAATTTTGTTAATAACCCAATTGTGCCTGGACAGAGTATTGATCGAGATGAAAAAGGTGTGAGGATCGATTCAACTCTCTACAAACAGATGGTAGGCAGTTTAATGTACCTCACTACAACGCGGACTGACTTGATGTTTGTAGTAAGTCTCATCAGCAGATTCATGGCGAATCCCACTCAACTTCATCTTGCAATGGCAAAGAGAGTTATGCGGTACTTGAAGGGGACAATGAACTGTGGGATCTGGTATCAACATAGCGAAAGAAATGATCTCATAGCTTATACTGACAGTGACTATGCAAGAGATATCGATGATAGCAGAAGCACATCTGGTTATGTGTTCTTAATGAGTGGAGGTGCTGTGGCGTGGTCATCTCGAAAACAACCAATTGTGACTCTCTCGACCACTGAAGCAGAGTATGTAGCTGCTGTTACGTGTACTTGTCAAGCCATCTGGATGAAAAGAATCTTAAAGGAGATCGGTCACAACCAAGCTGAACAGATGGTGCTGTTATGTGATAATACTTCCACCATCAAACTGTCCAAGAATCCGATTATGCACGGGCGATCCAAGCACATCAGGGTGAGGTATCATTTTCTAAGAGAATTATCTAAAGAAGGTGTTATCAAGTTAGTTTACTGCAGTATAGAGGAGCAGCTGGCAGATATAATGACTAAGCCACTGAAGTTGGCTTCATATCAGAAACTCAAAGAAGCACTGGGAATGAACGTTTGTGAACTGAACTCAGCTGAGAGTTAAGTTCAAGGGAGGATTTGTTGAGTCTTTTATGTTATTTTGTTAAGAATAAGTCATCCTATTAATATGGGATTAGTTAAAGTCTTTTTGGGTTGTTTTGTCAGTCAAAGTTTGTTAGAGTCTTCTTAGCCATTTGTTGTGATGGTAGAAGA